TCAAACTTCTTTACATTCTTATAATGTAGATTAACATTTTAAAAGGCCTTTATCAAAGGTATATTAGATAAGATTTTTTTGAAAGCAGTGCATAGTTTTACTTTCTTTTTGTCCTAATTATTTGAATGTAGGACATGCATGCCCAGATGTATGTACTTGAACTTTGAAAGCACATCCACCTCTTTGATGGAAGCACTAGCTTCCAAAACATTCACTACACTTATCTGAACAGCAATAATGAAAACTTTCATGAATTGCAAGTGGGAGTATGAATTACTACAACTTTTTGGGGCAAAAAAACTGGCACAGACTGTTGTAGTTTGTAATTATAAATTACACTGAAATATACTTACGTAAAAATAGCAATTTCATTTGGGGGAATTTATCCTAATAAAACAGAAGTACCAGAACACAAAGATAAGTACAGTCATGCTTGTTACAGCATTGTGTGTAGTAATAAAGAACTTGAAACAACTTGAATATCTAATCATGGAAATGCTGGATAATTAGTTGTGCATATGGAAACCATGGGTTCTTGTGTATTTATAAGAAATAAGTTAGTATTTGAATTAGTTTTCTGTTGCTGCTATAACAAACTATCATAGGTTTAGGAGCTTGAACAACACAAATTTGTGACTCTGTAGTTCTGTATACCAGAAGTCTGACACAGGTCTCACTGGGCTGACACTGAGGGGTAGGCAGAGCTATGTTCCTTTCTGACGGGTCTAGATGATGACATCTCCTTGCTCAGTTGGGTTGTTGGCAGAATTCAATCCCCTGAAATTAGATGATGGAGGTCCCCATTTCCTTGCCAGCTGCCAGCAGGCTATTCTGAGCTTCTGGAGGCGACTTGTATTCCTTGGCTTGTGACCTCCTTTTTCCATCTTCAAAGCCACAAAAAGAAGTTAAGCCATTCTCATGCTTGGAATTTTTCTTCCTCCTTCCATCTCATCTCTCTAACCCAACAAGGAAAGGTTCTCCTCTTTTCAGGACTGATGTGATTAGACTGGGACAACACAAATACCCATGATAATCTCCAGTCTCGTGGTGTTTTTACCTTGATCACATTTGCATAGTCCCTTTACCATAAAGGGAACATAGTGAGAGGTTCCAGGGATTTGGGCACAGATATCTGTGGGGAAAATTATTCCACTTACCATAGTTCTACATCTAAAAATCTGATATATGACCATGAAGTACTGTTACATGGGAGAAAAAATTAAGAAACAATGTGTTCAATTTGATCTCAAATATATAGAGATGTTACATATATATGGAAGCATAAAGAAAGGGTACACATCACGGTGCTAACACCAACTCAACCAAAATAGCTCAGAATAGGAAATAGAATGGGGAATGAAAGATGAGAGATGATTTCTTGATGTGTCTTTGGATGTTTTACTTCTTATAATAACATGTTTTTATTTTGAAATTTAGCAAAGTTTGATTAAAAATAAAGTGGAATATGAAAGAAAATGTATATTATAAAAACATTTCTCATATTCATAAATGAAATAAGATCTAGAAGTTATATACTAAGGTTACTTCAATGATGTGATTATGGGTATATGTTATTTTCTTATTTTGGCTAATCAGCATTTTATATATTTTTTCCTAGCAAGCAAGTAAATATATAAAGATTTGGTAAATGTGAATAACATTAATAAATTTTAAATTCATTTTAAATTAAAAACAAATACAATAAAAAGTTCTTACCAACTAAAGAAGACATATAATATCCCTATATAAAAAAAATGTGGATAGAGTCAGGAAATAAATATTCTACATAAAAAAACAAAGGGTTAATAATACACATAGAAAAAATTCATCCTAATTGAGTACTGAATAATTTCAAATTCCAATAGCATTCTATTTTTCCACCTATTAAATGACAATTATTATTTATAAACATCAACACTGAAGAGCCAATTAACATGGTTGATTGAAAACAAATTTCTATTCCTTTCTGAAATCTCTAAAAATTTTAGTAAAGGTATGAAAAAGACATAAAATTATGTGGTAACAAAACAAATGAAAAGGAAAGGACAACAAACAAGACATGCCACAACATTTAGAGGCCTAAAAAGCAGATATATGAGTTCAAACTCAGTCAGGCAGAAAAATCAAAACTGAAATATTTGCCGAGTAGGGCAGAGAAGGGGGTTAAGCTGAAGCACAACAGGGAACTCCTGAGAGGCTCAGGGACTGGAGGAACCAGGGAGGAATGCAGATGCGACTGTAAGCATGGCAGGTTGAAAGTCTGCATAGCAATAAAAATCCAAGATGCCCTCCTCTATCTCCAGAGCCAGTCAAGTATCTTTCCCCATCTTGGCAGTTTATTCCCCTGGAGAGGGTGAACCAGAAAGACTCCTCTCTTGGGGCCTAAAATGGAGTTGATGACAGAAATACCATATGGTTAAAAGAGATATTAAGTGAAAATCTAATAATGAGCACTGGGTCCTCTTCCTCCTCTTCCTCCACTGGGCTCCCTACATTGGCAGCCAAGCTTATATAATGCTCCACTCCTCCCTACCCAGGGAGAAGATTCATCCGTAGGGAAAATGACCACCCCAAGAGAAAAGACCTACAGACAGTAACAGTAGATCCCCAGAGAGCCTACTTCATCACCCCATTGGGAAGCTGATTAATTGACAAGCCCTGCTCATTTATACTGAGAGCCTTCAATAATTTTCCACTGCTTTGTTTGTAAATATAAATGATTCATAAGATTTCTGTGGAAAAAAGAAACATAATTTTGGCAAAAATTGAAACAATGTACCAGGAGGAAAGGAACTTCAAAATCTATTATTAATATTCCCAGAGATAAGAAAAAATATTGTATACATAAAAGAAGCACAGGTTCTTATATATATTAAAAAAAGCATTTAGAGAATAATGTGTTCTTGGAAATTATAGCAGTAAAATAACAACAGAAACATTAAAAAATAAAGTTCAGAAAATCTTTTAGAAACTAGAAAAAAAGGAACAGATATAAAAGATAGGATAGAAAAATAAGAAAATGAGAGATAATTCTATAAGATTCAATATCTGATTAATAGACTTCTAGAAATAAGTATACAAATAACAAAAAATGAAATGAAGAAAACTGTCAAAAAGATCCACAAACTAAACAAAGTTTCTCAACTGAAAGAATCCACTGATTACTCATTATAATTAAGGTAAAAAGGTCCAACGAATGCACATTGGCATCAATTGTTACAACATTGCAGAAAAAGACAAGATCCTAGTCGGGTCCATGGAGAATAGGTCACATAAAAAAAAATAAGGAATCAAACTACACTAAACTTTTTAATTGCAATGAAAACTAGAAGGTAATGAAACCCACCTTCAATCTCTTCTGAGAAAAAACAAATAACAACCAAGAATTCTATATCCAGCTAAACTATACATTAAATGTGAAGATAGATGTATAAGACATTTTTCAGAGGTATATGGTCTCAAAAAATTATTGTGGCTGCACTCCTTCCCAGTGAGCTGTTGAAGGACATGTTTAAGGAAGATGAGTATAAACCAAAAACACCACATGTGATCCAACAAAAGGGGAATATAACCTAGAAAAGAAGCAAAGAAAATTTCCAGGATGATGGATGAGAAAAATCTCAGGACAAGAGAAAGAAAGAGCAAAAGATTCAAATTCTTTATAATAGTCCTGCCAGTTCTGGCTGACCTCTGAAATACCCATAAACAAGGCAGGCTCAAACATCCCAGGTAAAGTTAAATAACCCAGCAATAATTTTCATTGCCACATACTCAAGGGAAGGTAGTTTGAAATTAGAGTTCAGTCAAGTTACTTGACTGCTAGCACAAAAAAAATTAACATTGTTCAAAAAAATATAACTGAATTCTAGAATAATTCACAATGACTAGAAAACAATCTGAAATTACTAAACCACAAAGAAAAACAAAAACAAATATGACCAATACTCGACAGAAAAGTTGATCAATAAAGATGAACCCTCAAGATGACTCAGGGGTCAGAATCAGCAGACACATATTTAAAAATATGTTTGTAATGAGTAAAATAGGAAATTTCAGCAGAGAAATAGAAATTATGACAAAGATCCAAATGGAAATTCTAAAACTGAAAAACCCAATGTCTGAAATTTTAAAAAGTAACTCTAAATAATGAGAGTTGGTGAATTTGAGGCTAGATCACATAAATTATTCAATATAAAAAATAAAGAAAAACTTTTTAAAAAAATTAGCACAGAACCAGGGACCTGCAGTATTAATATCTAAAGGTCTAATATGTCAATAAATGTAGTCCCAAAGGAGAGGAGGAAAAGGATAGGGGAAAATACACACACACACACACACACAAAATAATAGCCCACAATTTTTCAAATTTCATGAAAAAAGAATTCTTAAACATAGCTTTGGAGTGTAAATATATTTAACGCCTATGGAAAGCAACCTGTTAATGTGCATCAAGAATCTTAAAGGATTCATATATACTTTGAGCTAGCAGTCTACTTATAGGCATCTATACCAAGGAAATAGGTATAAATAAAGTAAATAATTTACAGAAAAGGTCTTCAAAGCATAATTTATAAGAGCAAAACCCTATATTATCAAACAACTGGCTTGTAGATACTGAGTAATAGATGTCACACAAAAAACATTTGTTGAGTGAATTAATTACTGTTTTCATAAAAACTTTATGACATCAGAAAAAATGATATAGTGAAAAAAGTAAAAAATAAAATTCTGTATAGGTATAATCCCTATTATTCAATATATAATTATAAAAGAAAGAAAATGGGAAATAAAGGGCTCAAAATTGTCTCTGAATGGTAGGTATATGAATAAGTTTTACTTTTCTCTTTATACTTTTCTATATTTCAAAATTTTATAATGTGAATGTATTTATTCATATGATCAGAAAACTAGATTCACCAATAAGCTATAACTGTATACCAAACATATCCCCAGTATCTGTATCCTACATATTCTTGCCTTGATCCACCACTTAAGTTTACCTTGGTCCAGAGTCACTCCCATTCATAACCAGGTTGAGCTCTCGGGACTTAGCAAGATCTTTATCAGCAACCAGTTCCTTCGACTTAAATGCAGCTTGAGTTCTTAACCTGTAAAAATAAATTTAGAGAATATCTAATCCTATTGAACCTAAGAAACTGAATGGTAATCCTTGAAAGACCATCTTGAGCCATATTATCCAGTAATTACTTTCAAATTAAAACTCAATCTATCAAAAATAAATGGGTTCTTCCTAAATATACATAAATACAGAGCAGTTTCACCAGAATTTAAATTTTCTTTATTTATAGAGTAGTGGTAGAAGTCTGAGTTGGTTACGCTATCATTTAAAAACTCAATATTATAGATGTTTTAGGAGCACTTTAAATCTCTTCTTGAGAATTTTAAAGCTTCTTCATATCCACTACTAAGCAAGTGTGTTTTGGTCACCAGAATCTAAAATGGAAATTCTAGTAACACTAAGTAAAACTGACCCTGCGCAACATATCCATAGGTGGCACTTCTCATACTGACAGTTTAAAAAGCTGAGGCTACATCTCACTAACCAACATTTTATCTGGGTCACAGAAAAATTCCTCCACGAAGAAATCTTATCCATCAGCGTTAACTTAGCTCCCCACTCAATGTACCAAGGAGGGAAAACAGTTGAAGAACTTAGCATCAAGTTGTTCTAACCAAGAGCTAGAGTGCCAGTTATTCACTGGCACCAAATATGTGACCCTTATTACACATTCTGTTAGTTATTTAGAAATGTTCTCTGGTTCATTTTTAGAAATGAAACCCATAAAACTATATTTTTAAATTATGAAATAAGACCACAAAGAGGTAAAAATGTTGTTAAAATAATATCATTTCCATCATTGTCAAAAGGTATTCTACAACTGACACTAACTATGCACAGTGATATACAGAGATAAGTAATGTAGATTAACTACCCTATAAAAACTAAGAGTTTAATAACCAAACAGACCTAAGACACATACATAGGCATTCAATCCAAAAGCAACAGAATACATATTCTTCTGAGGTGTAAACAGAATATTTTCCAGAGTTCATATTAGGTCAAAGAACAATTCTTAAAAATTTAAGAAAACTGAAATCATACCAGGCTTTTTTTTTTAAATAACCAATACGATAAGAAACTAGAAATCAGTAACAGGGAAAACTGGAAAACTCATAAATAAGTGAAAATTAAAAAATATACCCCTGAACAACAAATGAGTAAAAGAATAACTCAAAAAATAACTTGAAACAAATGAAAATAGAAACACAACATACTAAAACTTATGGGATGTACAAAAGCAGTTCTAAGAGCTAAGTTTAAAGCAATAAATGCTTACATTAAGAAAAAAAATCTCAAAAAAACCCCCCTAACTTTATGCCATGAAAAACTAGAAAAAGAAAAAACTACACTCAAAGTTAATAGAAAAACAAAAACAATGATAAGAGTAGAAATAAATGAAATAGACACCAGAAAAACAATGGAAAATATCAAAGAAACTAAGAGCTGCTCTTTTAAAAAGATAAACGAAATTGACAAACTTTTAGCAAGACTCAAATAAAATTGGAAATGAAAGAGGAGCCATTACAATCACAAAAATGCAAAGGATCATGAGAGACTACTATGAACAAGTATGCAACAAATAAATAAACCTAGAAGAAATTGATAAGATCCTAGAAATATACAAGCTACCAAAATTGAATCATGAAGAAACAGAAAATCTGAACACATAAACAAATAATGACTTATTTGAGAATAAATCGGTAACCAAAGCCCTCCCAAGAAAAGTCCAAGACTAGATCATTTCCCTGGTGACTTCTACTAAACATTAAAGAAGAAATGATGCCAATCCTTTCAAAACTCTTCCAAAAAACTGAAGAGAAAGAAACTTCCAAGCCCTTCTTACGAAGCCAGCATTACCCTGATACCAAAGCCAGACAAGGAAAATACAAGAAAAATACATGCCAATATTCATAATGATGATGATGCAAAAATTCTCAATAAAATACTCCAAACTGTAGAATTCAAGATAAATATTGTATGCTCATCTCAATAGATGCAGAAAAAGCATCTGGCAAAACTTAACATCCTTTCATGAAAAACTCAAGAAACTGAGTATAGAAGGAATGTAATTCAATATAATAGAGCCATATATGACAAGCCCACTGCTCACATTGTACTCAGTGGTGAAAGGTTGAAAGCATTTCCTTTATGATCAGGAGAAAGACAAGAATGCCCCTTCTCTGCCACTTCTATTCAGCATAATACTGAAAGTACTAGCCAGAGCAATAAGGCAAGAATAATAAATAAAAGGTATCCATGCTGGAAAGGAAAAAGCAAAATTGTCTCTGTTTGCAGATGACACAATCTTATATATAGAAATCCTAAAAGCTCCACCAAAAAACTGTTAGAACTAATAAATGAATTCACTAAAATTGCATGATTCAATATTACCACACAAAAATCAGCTGCATTTCTATACAAAAACACTGAATTGTCTGAAAAAGAAATAATAAAATAATCACATTTACAATTTCATCAAAAACAATAATATTCTTAGGAATAAATTTAATCAAGGAGATGATATTGAATATGCACAAGGAGTACATATTAAAAACTCTAAGAAGCTGTTGAAAGAAAAAATTGAGGAAGATACAAATTAAAGGAAAATATCTTATGTTTATAGATTGGTAGAATTAATATTTTTAAAATGTCCATATTAACAAAAGCAGTTTACAGATTCAATGCAATCCTTACCAACATTTCATTGGCATTTTTCATATAATTAGAAAAATTAATCCTAAAATTTTTTAAAAGATTTTATTCATTTCTTTTTAGACAGAGGGGAAGGGAGGGAGAAAGTGAGGGAGAGAAACATCAATGTGTGGTTGCCTTTCACACGCGCCCCCACTGGGGACCCGGCCAGCAACCCAGGCATGTACCCCGACTGGAAATCAAACCAGGGACCCTTTGGTTCACAGGCCGGCGCTCAACCCACTGAGCCACACCAGCCAGGGCTAATCCTAAAATTTGTATAGAACAACATAAGACCCCAAAGAACCAAAATAATCCTGAGAAACAAGAACAGAGGTATCACACTTCCTAACTTCAAGCTATGTTACAAAGCTGGAGTAACAAAACAGCAATGGCAGGTAAACAGATACAAAGACCAATGGACTAGAACAGAAAGCCCAGAGATAAACCCATGCATATATGATCAACTAATTTTTGACCAGGGTACAAAGAACACAAAATAAAGAAAGGATAGTCTTTTCAATAAATGGTGTTGGGAAAACTGGATCTTCATATGCAAAAGAAAAACTGGACCATTATCTTACACCACTTACAATTATTAACTAAAAATTGATTAAAGACTTAACTGTAAGACCTGTAAAGTAAAACTGCTATCAGAAAACATGAAGAAAAAGCTACTTGACATTGGTCTTGGCAATACTTTTTTGGAAACACCAAAAGCTTGGGCAACAAAAGCAAAAATAAACAAGTGCTGCTAGATTGATCTAAAAAGCTTCTGCACAGCAAAGAAAACAATTATTAAAATGAAAATGTAAACTGTGGAATGGGAAAAAGTATTTGCAACCATAAATCTGATAAGAGATTAATATACAGAATATGTAAGGAGCTTATACAACTGCAAACAAACAAAACAAAAACCTGATTAAAAAATGGGGAGAGGACCTGAAAGATAGTTTTTTCCCCCAAAAGACATAGAAATGCTCAACAGGCACATGAAAAGGTGCTCAACATCACTCATCACCAGGGAAGTGAAAATCAAAACCACCATGATATATCACCTTATACCTGTTAGAATGGCTTTGAGCAAAAGGCCAGGAGATAACCACACCGTGGCAAGAATATGGAGAAAAACGGATTCCTTATAAATTAGTGGTGGGAATGTAAATTGGTACAGCCATTGTAAAGAACAGTATGGGTGCCTCAAAAATTAAAAATATAACTACCATACGATCTAGCAATTCCGCTTCTGGGTATTTATCTGAAGAAAACAAAATTAGTATCTTGAAAAGATGTCTGCACTCTCATGTTCATTGCAGTATTATTCACAACAGTCAAGATACAGAAACAACTTAAGTGTCTGTCAACAGATGAATGTATTGAGATTTGGTACATGTGAATATTACTCAGCCACGAGAAAGAAGTAAATATTCTACCTACAGGATATTTTGCTAACTGAACATCCCAAAATACCAAAATTAGTGAGAGATAGTCAGAACACTGCTGACAAGGAAATTTATAGCATTAAATGCTTCCATTAGAAAACAATGAGTCTCAAAATGATAATCTAAGCTCTTACCTCAAGAAATTAGAAAAAAGAGCAAGATAAGTCCAAAGCAAGCAGAAAGAAAATAATAAAGAAATCAGTGAAATAAACAAATAAGACCAGTATTACCTTGATAGTGAAACCAGATAAATACAGCACACAAAAAAAGACTAATATCCCTTATCAATATTAATGCAAATATCCTTAACAAAATTGTAAATAGAATTTAGTAATACATACAAATTATTATACACTATGACCAAATGGGGGTACATTTTAGTAGGTTATTGAACAGGAAAAGTTGAATTTAGAAGGCTCCCATCATTTGTTATACTTTATATTATGGTGAATAGACATAAATATGGAATGATGACAGCTAATCATACTTCTTCATAATCAGATTCCACACTCTGAAATCTCAAGCTTTCACTTGATGCCTAATGTTCCCTACAATGACATCAAACAGCGAAGGATATTGTGGAGTGGTAATACCATTTAAAAGTACTGTCTTTGGAATCCAGCAAAAATTACACTGGACTGCTCAGAAATAAATATTCCAAGCTAACATTTTGGAAGACAAGACAATCTTTCAAGTCTTCCAAAGATGACAGTGGAATTTACTTGGTAGTTATCATTTGTACACATCCTGGAAAAGCAAAGGTCCCCAGGAACATCTTCTCCTGCACCTTTGTTACAGTAACACAGCAGTCACTTTATCCTGTGTTGTCCCACCCCGGGCACTGCTGAAAGAACAGATAGGACTCACCAATTGTAATCTAGTCGAGACTGCTGAAGCTGCTGCTGTTTTAGGAGAAGCTTTGTCTCCTGCTGGGCTAACAGATGCTGAAGGCGCTCCTTTTCAACTTCCAGCTCCATTTTTTGAAGCATAAGTTGCTGCCTTCTATCTTCTGAGAGTAGCTTTTTGAAATCAGTTTCACTGGGTTGCAGTAGCCCTTGGCCATGCATCAGAGGTGCCCAGGAATGCCCGCAGTAATGGTATGATTCCGGGTGTGTCTTGGAATATTGAGGGGCCATGTCTGTAGGATGGCTAACATGAACATGATGTGCATTTTCATAAAGTCTATGACCGCAACACAGTCTAGATGGAGTAGGCTTAAGATGTGGGCATTCTTTCAATTCCTCTGGTGGAACTTTCTCTGTAGGGACTGCACCTGCTAGTTTTTCCCCTGGAGATCTGTAATCACATGTTCTGGTCTCTGATGGCACCCTGTCTAGATGCTCTTTGGGATAATGAAGGGCTGCTGGTTTCAAAGAATTATTCCTAAACTCCACAAGGGGCTCTGAAGCTGGGTCCTGGTTTGCAGGCTTGGGCCTTTGCTTCGTTTGATAGCAGGTCTGCGGTTTAGCTACACTCAAGTAGGAGCCATCCAGTTCCATAGATGAAGACTGGAGAGTGCTTTTCCTATTGAATACCTAAAAGGAACCACAAGAGCACTTGTCAAATAGGAGCCCAATGAAGCGAATTCTTTCTTTTGGCTTTTCAGAAATCAGTGATATATTCTCACCAAAACAAAGCTGTTTTGTCTACTTAAATAATAAATGCTAGTATTTACACAGCTATAGTGACAGGTGTTACAAAGCTAAACTCGTTTTTAAACAATAGAGATTTGAATAACTCCTTAAGGATGAGGAAAAGAAAATGTTGCTACTTGCTGCTTAAGCAAGATTTCAGGAGTTGCAAAAAATGAGGGTTACACAAATCAACTTTGAGAAGAGGCAAAAGCATTAAATGTTAGTATTTAACAATGTTTAATTTTGAATACTAAGCCAAGAAATCCATTTAGCAACCTTAAACACTATTTGAAATACCCTGTGATTGGCCATTACACAGCATGAGATTTGATATAAAACCTTTCACCTAAAACTGAATAGGATGTTACTACTAGAAATTTGATGACTTTTTATAAATGCTTTTACAGCACACAGATAAAACCAACACTTTCAACAAAATATGATTCTAATCAGAAGTGGCTAAATACAAAATATATTTAATTTCAGCTATAAACATAAGTGATTTTTCAATTAAGCTGTTCAAGTGATTATAGTCTGATAAAACTCAGGCAGAAAGGAAGTAGTTGCAAATTACCTTGGACAGACCCACGAAGTCAGCTTTCCTAGTATTTAGCCTCAAGCTTGTTCTACTAGGGAGAATAAAACTTAGTGTAGATCAGTAATTCTCAAACTTTAACATGTATCAGAATCACCTGGACGGCTTGTTAAATGTGAATTATGGGTTTCATCCCGAGAGTTTCCAATTCAGGAAGACTAGAGCAGAGTTGAGGAATCTGCATTTGTAATGAGCTGCGAGGTGATGCTGACGCTGCAGCTCTGGGACCACACTCTAAGAACCACTGGTTTGTATCATGGGATATCTGGTTTCTCTATTAAGGACTGTTTTGATTAGATTGGGTTCACTCAGTTAATCCTGGATAATTTCCCCATCTCAAGATCTTAAACTTAATCACATCACTAAAGTCTTTTTTCATACAATGTACTTTATACCATACAAAATGACATTCACAGGTTCCAGGAATAAGGACATGTACGTATTTCAGGTGCGGCATTATTCAGCCTACCACAACTTTTTAAATAACTAATTCATAAACAGTTGCGATGTTCATCAATTCTAGAGACAGAATAAATGAATGATTGAGATCCCTAGCAGAAGGGGGAAAAATCCCACCAATTTGTTTAGCAATAGATGAAAGTGATGAACTGACTGATAAAATGTCAACTAACAGAGATATACAGCAATACTATTACAACAATTCTTAAGATTTTGAGTTTCTAAAGCAATTCTAAAAGAGTTATATTTAAGTGAGAATGAGTTACATCTGGTGAGAAGATTTGGCTATCTTCAAAGAAGACATGCAATCCTGCTCACTGAGCAGGTGCCACTGGCAAATTACAAGCTACCGAAAAGGAACTAGTCCTAAGGCAAAACTTACGATAAACTACCTCATAAAATAATTAACCTAACTTTACACGTAAAAGGAAACTCTAGTCCACAGTAATCTTTCCTACTATGAACTTTCATAGCACTTACTGTCAACACAAATATTTAACATTTATCACCCACTACTTTGTATGGTAAACCATCTTTTAATAGAATTATAATATTTTAAAACTCACATTTTTTCTTGGTCCAGAAACTCGAATCAACTATGTTACATTCTCATGTATTTTCTAAGACATGCATTATTAACATAACAATAGACAACATGTATGCATTATTTTACATACTGATTTTTGTTCCTTAGCATTATTTACATAATGCACTTTTAGGTAATGACATAATCAACACTTATTTTAATGGTACTGACTTAAATTATTCACAAATGGCAGGTATTCAGAATATTTCTAAAATATTTTTTGATAGTTAACTTATGTTTTTGAGAGGCAGAACAACTGAATGATTTTGATACATACTTTAACTCAAAGAGAACACTGCTTTGCCAGTTGGCTGATGGGTGACTGTGTGTGCTGGTAGGTTCCCATCCTCTTGCTGTGTCCCCTGTGTGTGACGTCCTCCCCTTTGTGTGTGTGGAGGACTGGTGAATATGATGAGATATCAATCATGAGATTATGGTACCTCATATGGCTAAAGGGACCTCCGAGATGTAACTAAGGCTCCTTAATCAGATGACTGTGAATAATAAAAAAAAAGGTTATCTTGTGTGGGCCGGACCTAATCAGGTAAACCCTTTCAAAGAGAGTCGGGTGCCTTCCCCAAGGTCAGAGATTCTCCTGCTGGCCTTGAGGAAGTAAGCTGCCGTGTTGTGGGAGGGCCATTGGAGAGGGCCATGTGGCAATGACCTCTGGCGCATAAGGCAGTTTCCAGCCAACTGCTAGCAAGAAAATGAGAATCTATCATGTAGATGTAAGAAACTAAATTCTGCCAGCAACCTTGGGAGCCTGGAAGAGAACCTAGAGCTCCAGCTGATACCTTGACTGCCACCTTTGAAGACCCTGAGCAGAGGACCCAACCGAGCTGTGCTGGACTCATGACCCACAGAAACTGAGAGATAATAAATGTGCACTGTTTTAAACTGCAGTAAGGTGTAGCAATTTGTTACACAGAAATAAAAAATTAATATAGCACATTCTCAATTTGCCTGACCCTCAGTTTCATCAGTAAAACAAGGATTAAAAATGGCATCTACCTCAAAACTGGATGTGGCGTATAGGCAGTTATCACGGGCACCAATTTATAAGGGTACTAATTTACCAAAGGGGAAGAAAAGCCTCATGTTTACTCAAATCTCTTTCAAGGAAAACATTATAGCGTGTGGGTGAGGGTGGAGGTGAATGCTCAAGGGGCGTGTTCATTTATGGCAGATTACCTCTAAACTGTCTTCTAAAAATACTAAATTCAGTAATCCACTTCTACTTTGCTACCACGAGGTTTGCAAGTTGGGCCGGAGGTGAATTGCTTAGATAATAAAAAGGTTCTTCATAAGAACGATGTCAGTCTTACACTAACATCTTGCACTGCCTCTTAAGAGTTGTAAAGATTAGATGATTCATACAAAGTGCTCTGGATATTGTATAATGTAAGTTTACTATTCAAATATGTTTCCTATTATTACTACTACTATTAATATCCCTGACTTCTCTGCTTCGACAGTTTTTGAAGGAAGGGGCTATGTTTAGTCCTCTGTATGCACAGCACTGGGGCTTGCACATAGCATATTCTCAACAACTCTGGGCTGACACTATCAGCAGAGTAGAAAAATTCAAGTTGGGTTATGGGTTGCAGTAACAAAAAGGGGAAAATGAGAATCCATGATTAGGCTGTAAAGAAGAGGAAGAGAGGAGAAATAGAAAACTGCCTGTAAGAATCTAAATATAAGATATGTGATATTTACAAATGTAACTTCTTTTAAGTAAGGCTTAAAGTAACAACAAATCCCAAACTGCTGTCTCTGGCATATGGTTTTAATGTGAGTTTTTCAAAAACACTAATTTAGAAACCAGTAGGTTTAAAAAAAAAAAACTGTAAGCATAATTTATATACAATAAAATGCACAGATCTTAAGTGTATAGCTTAATGAATTCTTATATTTGCATATCCCATGTAATTCTAGAACAGTTCCATTACCCTAGAAAGTTCCCTTGTGCCTTTCTAATCAATACCACCTCCTCATACTTGCAGGAGTAAGTAGGAATTACTTGACTTCTATGGCCATTAGTTTTGCTTATGTTGAACTTCATATGGAATCATAAAGTATGATATTCTTTTGTGGCTGGCATCTTAAGCTCAACATGATTTTTAAGCTTCCATGTTGTTCTATGTTGTGTATTAATAGCTCATTCTTTTTTTTTATTGCTGTATAGTATTTCATTACATGAATATAGTAAAATTTGTTTATCCATTCTCACAGTGGATTAGGTTGTTTCCAGTTTAGAGGTATTATGAATAAAGCTGCTATGAATATTCTTATACAAGTCTCTTTTTTGAACATATGTACTTATTTTCTTGGGCAGAAGGTAAGCATATGTTTGACTTTATTAGAAAGAGTTAATCAGTTTTCCAAAGCGGTCATTCTATTTCACATCCCCATCACCAAAGTAAAACAGTCCCAGGTGCTTCATATTCATTTCCCTGTTCAGACAGGAAGATGATCTCTGGATCACAACAAGTAACAAAGCTGAGTTCAAACTGCTTGCAATATCAGGAATTGTCTTATACGTACTGAAGGTCCCACAATCCTTGACTACATCTCAAACTCTAGAAGTGGCAGAAATGAAGCCAGCCAAATCTTTGACATGCACGCTGTGGGACTCACAGCATGAAAGGAAGATCAGAACATGAAGGCACTTTTGGCTTATGACAGAGTTGGAGCATGTCTCTAAAGGTGGATAGACACAGACTGACTAGATTAAAAAAACACCAATGAGGTAAGTATAAGGTTTTAAAAAAAAGTGTGAGAGACTTAGTTTAGACATAATGAAAAATTTTCTGACAGTGAAAGTAAATTTCTGAGTTGGAAGAAGGTTTTATGAATTTTTAAGATTACTTTTTAAAATATGGCATATTTAAAAAAGACTTCACAGAAAACAGAAATGTCGATAAACATGTATGATATGATCTTGTATACATACATATATGAAAGTACACACAGGGGTGTAAGCATTATACATATACACACAAAATCACATGGTAATCCGGGTTTTCCCAGGTTCTCAAATGTTATAAATAACAACTGCAGGACTACTTTGTGAAATAGCAACAACAAATAAGCAGTGATGTTTTATAAGTTTCTGAAAATCCTCTTTATAGGCCAGTCTCTGCTTTAGAGCCATAAGGAGAGATGTGAACTAAATTGCAGTTATTATTCCTTGCAACAGGTTGTTATTTCCTTTGCGTGATGAGGAAGTGATTACTTACAATGCACTTACGAGTTGTTAAG